TGACAAACATGATTTTATTTCAGACAGTAGCGCCAAGCATTTAAAGCGGTAAAGGTTACAATCAGCATATAAAGGGTGCGGTCCAATAACCACTACAAATGCTGTGCAGCGTTTCTACCTCTTGTTCTATTCCTCGGATTCGAATGAAGAAAGAGAAAGAAGTAAAAACGCTACAAAGCATTTGCAGCGCCCGCTGGACCCATAGTCTGTTCTTTTTACTTAAACTGTCTGAACTGGTACACACTGGTGTGTTCCAAAATTTATCGCCATCACTGGAAAGCTGTAGACTCAAATTCTGAATCCTCTTTATCGATAAAAGTGCCTAAAATGTAGCTTCTCAGCCAATCAGATGGCTCCGAAGCCTCTTTTAGAGGCTCATTTATCGTTAAAAGAGAATTCAGAATACGAGCCATAATGCGCAACACATAAGAAAATTGACTAATCAGAGTTCTCATTTTTATTGCCACGATAAAGATAAAGGACTCTGATTGGTCAATTTTCTTATACGTGCATAAATTTCGAGCCACAATAGGTGTAGTAAGCTTTACGCCTTAAGAAATTGACCAATCATAGTTGATTATTCTCTTCAAATTTGACTGTGATTGGTCAATTTCTTAATGCGTCGTCGTCGAGTAGGGGAGCGTCCCGATTGACCACAGTACGATTGGACACAACCAACCGATGAAAAGAATTATCTAGTGAATTACTAGATCGAACCAATCATTACAATCTGTGTCCAATCGTATCGTGGTTAATCGGGTTCCACCCGTCGAGTAGTAGTAAGAATAAGCAGTAAGCAAATTGACCAATTCCATTCTCACGATTCAAGAATAATCTATTGTAATTGGTCCATTTACTTACTGCTTATTTATTACTACCATTCCTACTGCCACTGTAGACGACGCATAAAGGGATCCACGAAATCACGTGGATTCCACGTGGGTGTAACGTGCATGTTTTTGTGGGGTAGTAAGAAGTAGGAAGTAAAAGTAAGAAATTGACCAATCACAGTCGAATGTGAGAAGAATAATCAACTATGATTGGTCAATTTCTTATTCTTACTTCCTACTTCTTATGGCTCCTGCACACAGGACGTGGTAATGCTTGCCGCGCGGCGGAAGTTCGCGCGACAACCAATCAATATGCTGCTTTCCGTAATAACCTTCTAGCTCTTACGGAAAAACAACATATTGATCGGACCTGTTGTACGGACTTCCACCGCGCGGCAAGCATTACCGCGTCCTGTGTGCAGAAGCCATTACTGCTTACTTCCAATGTAGACGTCCCTTTAAGCCTGTATCAGACTACCGACTGCACAGGCCGACCCGATTGCCGACTACGGGCCTGAGCACAAAGATTGTCGCAATTTTTTACAACAGTGTCGTAGACGTAAATCGGTATCGGAAGTCAACATACAAGGGTTGGCGTAGACGTATCAAATATGATTAGAGGATACAATTAATGCAGCATACATCTATATCAATCCTTGTACGTTGACTTCCGACTCCGATTACGTCTACGACACTGTCGGAAACGACTGCGACAATCTTTGTGCTCAAGCCCTACGACTGCCAACTCTCAATGGATCAATCATAGTGAAGCGCCGACTGATTGGATCGGTCGACTCGCATTTAGACTTCAGTCTATTTTTCGAGTCGGCGACTCGAGTCGTAGCCAATCATATGGTAGTTCGTGTGATAACGCAACTATTTTCTTCTTTCTTCTAATATTTTGAGATTTCTTGAAAGGAAGTTTCATATTTCTTGACATATATGCTATTATTTTACTATCACACAGAACTTAACCTAATGACAATGAGTGCGTTCAGCGAACAGTTGCACAACAGTCGAGCAATTCGTCAATGTAATTGGTCTAGATTTAGGGATCTAATAGTAAGAACTAATCGCTGATTGCTTACTGAGCGCTTTTTCCGTTGAACGCGCCTATTTATTGCACTTTTTGTTCTCTAGCAGATGTCACTAGTACGATCAGTCGGCGGCAGAGGTCGATAAGTGTGACTGACCGACAGGGCTGCTATTTCGTGGTTCCGATAGTTGTCGGATCAGTGGGTTCGTTGCGCAGTTTTTCCACGGTATAAAAAAGCTGCGCAACGACGCCTACTGATTCGACAACTGTCGGTATGCGGGAACGGAATAGTACTCCTGTAGCCCTATTCTGTAACTCGTTATTGGAGTTCACGACAGTTTTGTTATCGTTACGCAGCTTTTGTATACCGTAGAAAAGCTGCGCAACGATAACGAAACTGTCGTTAACTCCAATAATGAGTTACAGAATCCCAACACTGGAGTCGGCAGTCGAGTCGGCCTGTACAGTCGGTAGTCTGATACGGGCTTTAGGCTTAAAGTTTACTACACCTATTGTGAATCGGGATTAATGCAGGATTCACATTGCGTCGAGGTCCGACGTACGACGTCCGATATCCAATAGGAGAACAGCTTTCTAATATAGAATCTCTCCATTGGAAAGCTGTTCTCCTATTGGATATCGGACGTCGTACGTTGACATCGAACGCGGTGTGAATCCTGCATAAGGCGTTTTTTCGTTTTGTGGCCACGATACCGTTTGGTTAGTTGATTGGTTTGGTCCACTTAACGCTCGCAACGCCTCGAGCAACAAAGATAGAATCAGACAGAATGACGTTACGAGCGTTAAGTGGACCAAACTAACCAACCAAACGCTACCGTGCTTACGAAACGAAAAAACGCCTTAATTGTGATTGTTTATGTCGAGCAGTTTAACTATGGTCGATTTGGGATTTGCATTGAAATGTAGTGAACAGTGGAGATTAGAGAGCCGTTTTTTTCCTAGTAAAATAGGTGGTAAACCAGCATGGCTCGATTTAAAAAACATTCCTGGCAAAAGTGAGCTGGAGTGTGAGTATTGCGGTAATCCCTGTATATTTTTATGTCAAATCTATGCACCATACGACGATCCTGATACGTTTCACAGAACTATATATATTTTTATATGTAAGAACGTGGAGTGCTGCAAATTTAACCAGAATGGAAACCTAAAAGTTTTCCGTTCACAATTGAATAAACACAATGTTTTTTATTCACCAAACCCACCTATCGAAAAGGAAGACTGGGAAACGAGTGTCGGTACGATCGTAAAATTATAAATTATTTCTCTTCTCTCCCCACACTTCAACTATTGCATGTATATCTGTAATATAATGTATGTTATTTGTTTATTTTTTTAAGATGTATCAAAATGGACAAAGACTTGCCATATTTGTGGTATTTTAGCACCATTTCACTGTTCCAAATGTAAAGTTGTCAATTATTGCTTTCGTACACATCAAATACACGATTGGAAAAATGGGCATAAAAAAAAATGTGGTACCAAAGCAGATAGTGTAAATGAGAGATTGTGTGAGAACAATGATATTTTGTTTTCTGAGTATGAGATTACA